CGGGGGTACCCCGCGCCGTGGGATCCCGCCGTGACCCCGGCCGGGGGAGGCACGGTGGGGCCCCGTGCCTGCCGTGCCGTGTAAGAGGAAAAGGGGGGGCGGGAGGAAAACCCTGTTCTTGCCAAAATGCAGTTCGCTCTTCTCTTGTCCTGGTGCTGCTGCCTGCATGGATGTGCGCTAGGGACTGGCTTCCTCTATCAATTCCCAGCATCAACCCTGCAGCACAACTACCCAGAGCAGAGCTCGGGCTCGCCGGGCAGCGGCTTCGCCAGTCGCCGGTGAGTAAGACCGGGTCCGCCTCCCCGGCGAGGAGGCTGGGCCCCGCCGGTGGCTCCCGGGGGGAGCAACGGGCACCGCAAAACCGCGGGCAGCAATCCCCGCGGAGGGTGCGAGGGGCTCTCCGCGCTGCTGCCCCTCGCGGAGCCGCGCTGGGCTGCCCTCATCCTAAATGGGGCGAGGGAGGCTCCCTACCTGCCCGCAGCAGTGTCCCGCTCTGGGGCAGGCAGCGACTAGGGAATGGAGGAGCTGAGCGTTGGCAAATGAAACCCGCAAACTCTCCCCTTCTTGCCTCCCTCAGCCCGTCGGGGAGGGGAAGGTGACTTTGCCGGGTCAGCGTGTCCGTGCGCAGCCAGAGCCGTAAAACCTCCTGAACCCAGACGCTGGTGATGCCGGCAGAGGGAACTGTTACAGCCCTCGGCTGCGAGGAGAAACTTGTTCAGCTCAACAAAAGAAAGACCTTAATTACAGATCTCTGTTTAAGAGCTGCAGCTTTCAAATAGTTGTTTAAAACCAAACCTCCGGCTCTTCTCCTCTCCCCCCACCCCAAACCAATTTCTTATAAACTTATATAAATCAGTTTTGATTTACTGTATCTTGCTGCTTCAGTAGAGCAAACAATTTAGGCTTCTCCCCCTCCCCTCTGTTTTCTGTGGGTATTTCTCTAGAGGTGAAACAGCTGTTCAGATGAATGAACCGCACTGTATAAAGCGAGAGAGTGGCTTAACCTGATTCCAGTTGTTCTTGGATTTCACTTTTTTTCCCTGCGATTCCCTTAAATGGGGACTTGGGAATTTAATATTCAGGGCTCGTCCATCCTGTCTCTACCCCTTTTCCTCCTCCCCTTGCTAATACCTAGTATGCATGAGTTATGCTGCTGTAGAGGAGAGCTTATGTTAGCACTGCTTATTTGGGCTAGGAATTGGGATAAGGCATCTACACAGCAGATTTACATCAGGGTGTCACAGAAGTACAAGAGTGGGCGCTAGCCTTGTGCCTTGCACGGTTCTCACATATGGTGCATATTTCATCTCCAAGTGGGGGTGGTTTTGTTTGCTGGCCTGTCAAACAGGCCTCAGTCTGTAGGGGGTGTGATGTTAAACTACAGTAACTGTCAAAGGGTTTGAAACGGCAGAAAATTATAGGAGAGTAATGGGATAAACCTATCCCAGCTGGATCTGTTCCAAGGTACCCCCTTCCCAAAGCATGAGCTGCAATGAGAACCACATGTCATTTGTCTTACATATCTATTAGCCTGCAGATCTTTGTTCAGAGCTACCACGCTTACATGAGTGCATACTGTATTTCTGCTCACCAAAGACCTTCCCCGATTCACACTCTTGCACAATTTTCCCATGCCTCAGTTGTTTGGATAGCTGATGCTTTGTTGGGGGAACGCGTCCCTCTCCAAGTCTACAAAGTGTTGTATAAAACCATCTAAAGCTGATTTAAACAATGATGTTGGGAAAGCTGGTAGATTTTTTTTTTTTCCGATGGAATTTGCCATGTGGGAATCTCCCATTCTAGTTTAAAGCAGAGGGGGAAATAAAAAAAATTGAACGGAGGGAAAAATCACTGGTGGATGTTTTGAAATAAAAATTCAACTGCTTAGTCAAATATCGCACATTGAAGCAATCTTTGTATGTTTTAATTTCCCCTTGAGTAGTGGAGTTTTGTTGTTGGCAAATATCTAACAGCTTCACTTTCTGATGAGAAAATCTGTGTGGGAAAACTTTACCCAGCCACAATGTTGGACCTTTGAGGGGAGCCTCTTGCAGGGTGCAGCTTCAGGTTGGGATAGCTGTACTTTTCTGGATTCAACATGGTGCTGGATAAGAATGAGGCTTTTTGCTCTACAGCCTGATGCTGAACTATGTGGGTGTGAAGCCTTTTTTTTCAGGGGACTGAATTAGACTGGTATAAACTGTTGTTTACATTGTTCAGTGTCCCTTTTGCCATCCAAACAGGGGATCTTAGTAGCACCTGAATTATGTGAAGCAATAGCAGCTCCGTCACAGCAGAGCTTGCTAGCCTCTGCCCTGAAGAGGCTGCGGAGGACACAAGATGGTGGGTAGGTGATTACTATTAATGACGCTACGTGGTCATTCTCGCTTTCTCCTCTGCAACCTTCCCAGTGAGTGCTTTGCCTAGTGACTTCTGGCACTTCTCCTGGGTACTATCAGCCAAGTATAAGCAGGCCAGAGCCTTGAAAGTTACTACTGCAGCTCCAGGTTTTGATACGTTGCAGCACATACTGATGTGATGCTCTACAGCTGACATGTTTCCTTGATACGAGCCACACCATGTTCCTGCAGTTGTCTCTTTCTGTCCTTGATCAGCAAATGAAGACATGACTGAGCTGTTTGGGAATCTGCTATCAATTTTTTTAAAATTAGCTTGTCATAAAAGTTGTATTTCTCCAAGGGGGGGGGAAAAAAAAGTTGCTGGAATCTTTTGTCTTCCACCTAGAAAACCATTCAAAATTCATTAGCTGATATAGTCCTTGGTATCTAGGTTGCA